ATTGCCGATGTCATATATTACATGAATGCTGGTAATGTCATATATTACAAGAATGTTGGTAATGCCATATATTACAAGAATATTGGTAATGCCATAGATTACAAGAATATTGGTAATGTCATATATTACAAGAATATTGCCAATGTCATATAATACAAGAATGCTGGTAATGTCATATATTACAAGAATGTTGGTAATGCCATATATTACAAGAATATTGGTAATGCCATATATTACAAGAATATTGGTAATGCCATATATTACATGAATTACAAGAATATTACAAGAATATTGCCAATGTCATATATTACAAGAATACTGGTAATGTCATATATTACAAGAATATTATGTTGGTAATGCCATATATTACAAGAATATTGGTAATGTCATAGAATACAAGAATATTGGTAATGTCATATATTACAAGAATGCCAATGTCATATATTACAAGAATTGGTAATGCTATATATTACAAGAATATTGGTAATGTCATATATTACAAGAATATTGGTAATGTCATATATTACAAGAATATTGCCGATGTCATATATTACAAGAATGCTGGTAATGTCATATATTACAAGAATATTGGTAATGCCATATATTACAAGAATATTGGTAATGTCATATATTACAAGAATATTGCCAATGTCATATATTACATGAATACTGGTAATGTCATATATTACAAGAATATTGCCAATGTCATATATTACAAGAATACTGGTAATGTCATATATTACAAGAATGTTGGTAATGCCATATATTACAAGAATATTGGTAATGTCATATATTACAAGAATATTGGTAATGTCATATATTACAAGAATATTGCCAATGTCATATATTACAAGAATGCTGGTAATGTCATATATTACAAGAATGTTGGTAATGCCATATATTACAAGAATATTGGTAATGCCATATATTAGAAGAATATAGTTAGTGATACGATACAAAAAATGGGAATAACGAATCCTACTTTAACTCATAGTTCTCTCAGAATCGAAACACTCTTTAGATTGAATAAATCCGGTAAGAAGACACATCCTTGTCTTAAAACTCTTTCTATTTTTGTATACCTGCTGAACACATTTTCTATCCGTATGCAGGCGGTTTGCTGCCAGTATATGTTCCGGATTCTTCCCAAATATATCGCAGTTTCAACAATTCTTTATTTATTTAAATTTTTTTTGCATAAACCCATAAAACATAGAAACACATCCTTTTGTATTCCTCTTTCTGAAATCATCTTGAACATAAATATCACATTATTTGTTCCGGTGTCCTTAACGAACACGACCTTTTCTTGTTATATTTCCGGTTTGATACTGTTTCCCGTTCTATTCATCAGAATTCGGATGATAAATTTTGTTACATGTCTCGACAGTAAGTCAAGATCTCTAGTAGGCGACTGTTGATTCCCCTCCTCGATTCCTTTGATTGTTACTACTTTTAACAGGGGGAAACAAGTCATATAGCTGGAGAGGTAAATAGATGGCCGACCTGTTGACATCCGTTCTCGCTATCGCCCCCTCCGTCTTGCTTCGTCTAATAAACGATGCCTAATACTTTGACGTTGAATTAAAGCAAAAAAAAAAAAAATACAGAAACCCAAAGGAAAATGTCTGTCGTTGATTTTATCCTATTGACGCAGAATTGTAGTCTTTGCTGGGGAATTGTCGATTAACCATTAGAATCGATGACAACACTCACTCAAAGATGGCACGCATCGCAAAAGATGTTTCTTAACAGTAATCGGAGACAAACGATGGATCCATTTTTATCTATCAAGTTAATGTCAGTAAGTGTCGTTCTTGACCTATTCCCGGCTTCTGCTTTCGTTATGATCCAAATCGAGATTCCCAATCTCCCCAGTTTATTTTTGGCTCCATTTTTTCATCTCGACTAGGTCAGTTTTCTTCTTTTCCTAGGCTGTATTTATTTTATCATTTCCCTCTCTCTTAGTGAGAGAGCCTCTTGATTTTGTCTAAATACAGAATACATTGGCATCTCTGAATTCTTTTGAGGGTTTGACGGGTCCAACTAACAAGTTATTATTTTGTCTATTTGTTTTGGTATTTAATTTTTTTGGGGCGACGGGGTCACCCCCCTCATTACGTATCATCAACAGATGTTTGCATACAGAAATTAATAATCGTTAATTTTTATGTCATGGGGCGTTTCTGTAAGCCCTGAGTGTGTGAGGTATTGCTGTATATGGAGGAGTGTATGATAATGGATAAGTTCTTTTGGTAGCTGTGCAATTTGTAATGAATGATTGGATCGTGAATCTGATTAGCTAGGTATAAGATAGTAAGTGATGACACATTCCATCCCAATTCCCTCCCCCATTTTCGGCCTTGTGCCACAATTGTATTTTATGTACAATAAATCTAGGCAAAGAAACTGGAAAGAAGTATTAGTTTTTGAGGCTGATTATTTAAAAGAAAACTTCAGAATATAGGATGAAAATAAATCATAATTAATATTAACTATCGGATTCGATCCTTCAAATCTACAAATCAACCATTCGCCCTTGCATGGGGTCTTGCTGCCATATATGGTCAGGAGCCCAATCTAATTGTCTCAAGGTCCTTGATGAAATCCAAAGACGGATATGCAATGTAATTGGCCCTGATCTGGCATCTCGTACGCAACAGCTCTCTCACAGACGTGCTGTTGCCTCCCTCTATCTTTTTTACAAATACTTTCACAGTAACTGCTCCGATGAGCTGCTTTCGCTGGTTCCCAGACTTCGTGAATATAAGCGCTCAACTAGGCTGGCATCTCGCTCACACCATTTCACTGTCGAAACAGTTAAATGTAGCCGTCTCTTCTACTCCAATAGCTTCATGTCTCGCACTTATCGCCTGTGTAAATCCCTCCTCATTTCTTATTTTCCTGATAACTATAATCTCCAACTATTTAAATGTAACCTCAATCGACGTCTCCAGATGTCCTGATCTATCCCCTAACCGTCTCTTCATCCTTTCCTCTATCACTCATCTTTGTTCTCGCTCCTACTTTGAAACCCTTTGCGTGCTAGTGGTTTCCCGCCTTGCTTGGGGTTGAATGTATTTTTAAAAAAAAAATAATAATATGGGCTAATTCTACGGGTTCTGATTAAACTGGACCTGGATATTTTTCGTGTTTTTTTTTTTATTAAACCTCGCGATTTTGATTTGAAGTTCTTTATCTACTCACTTCGCGCTCGTAAAACAGTTTAATTCGTGAATTGATAATAAATTTAGTCATATTGGACTTCTACTGGATCCTTAGCAATTAGGTTAGGCCCTATCAATATCCCATAAATAATGGACTATTCCGTTTTGAACCAGAGACGTTGTTTGGGTTTCTTGAGGCAAAAAAAAAATGAAAGAAAAAAAAGACATTTAGTTGTGAAGGCTCGGTCGAAGTTTGAACTCGGCTCACAAATTTCGCTTCCCTGTCACAGGCTAAAGGAAAACTACCCGTCAAAATTAAAATTACTGTTGAGAAATTAATTTTTGTGCGCCTCATCGACCAAAAATTAAACGATTCTCTTTGTTTACTTAAAGTTGGTCGTTTACGTGTTTTTATAACTTGGGCCAATGTTCTATTTAATAATATTGTGTTATAGTTCTTTTTGTTCCTTCGTTGTTTTAGCCAATACCTCATAAATTTTAATGGCGAGAAAGAAAAAAAAACAGAAAAGAGATATCACTGTTTAGTGTTTCAGTGTGAAAAAGAAAAAAACAGAAAGAAGGAGAAAAAAGAAGACAGAAGTGGCGGTAACGCTTTCATTTGTTTAACGCCTGCTTCAGTGAAATGGACAATCAATGCAATTTCAATTGTTTTTTTTTCTCTCATTTCTTACCCACTGCTGTAAATAATGACTTACGTATGTAATTTATTGCAATATATTTTTATAGAGTCCAAAAGCGTCTCCGAGTCTTTTTAGGCGATGAAACAGTTTCCAACGTCCAACCTCTTCCTCACAGACGGGATGTGGTAAAACTCTTGCTGCTCTATCGTTACATTCAGGGAAAGTGCTCGAACGAACTACATTCCTTGGTTCCGCAAGGCCTAACTCACAGGTTAAGTATCAGCCATGCCACTTAGGTTGGAGTAAAAACCGCCCACTTTTTGTCAGTAATCCATCGCTGAGAACAGCTTCTGTTCTGTGGAACCCACCCCACAAGAAGATGTTTCTCCGACCATTACAATCTTAATCGCTTCAAGTCTAGGATTAACCGTTATCTTTCCCTTATATACCTACAAAATACCTCCTAAGGTAAGCCTCTACTTCGAGTGGTCCCCGGACCTTGTACAAGTTGAACCTTTAAAAAAATGTTTAACGATACAGTACCGGACTATCTTCCTTGAACAAGCAAGGGTTTAAGAATTATGATTCATCAGAAAATAAAAATAGCAAAAACCGTAGAATTAGCTTCTATTTTTTTTCTTTTTTTAAGCATTCAACCTCAAACAAGGTGGGAAGCCACTAGCACGCAAAGGGTTTCAGAGCAGGAGCGAGAACAAAGAGGAGTGATAGAGGAAAGGATGAAGAGAAGGTTAGGGGATAGATCAGGGCATCTAGAGACGTTGATTGACGTTACATTTAAATATTTGGAGATTATAGTTATCAGGAAAACAAGAAATGGGGAGGGAGTTTCACAGGCGATAAGTGCGAGACATAAAGTTATTGGAGTAGAAGAGACGGCTACAATTGTAGACTGATTGATTTCTTGTTTTTTTTACAGTTTATCAACCTTTTGAAGGTTATTTAAAGCCAGAAATTATTTTTAGATAGCAATAATATTTTGCGGATAATAATGATTTACTGACACAAATCCTATTGATAAAACCTGGGGGGACAAGCGGTAGAATCATATCTTTCACGAGGGTATTTATACGTAAGTGAATTTAACGAACCAGACTGAAATTGGAACACGGGTCACCAGTTTTCAATTCCGAGCCGTTATCCGTTACACCACCGGCGCATCCAAGCTTACCGAACCTGTATTCCAAAGCAGCCACCCAGCTAAGTAAGGACCAGACTCGACATTGCTTTACTTCGGTGATCGTACGAGAACCGGTGTATGAACATGATATGGCCGTATGCCTTTTGCGTAGAAAAATAGGGATGAATATGTGTGCGCGCTGGTATATGAGAGTAAATATGATTGTATCTGTGTGTGTGTGTGTGTGGGAGAGAGAGAGAGAGAGAGAGAGAGAGAGAGAAAGAAAGGAAGCAAGAAAAGCATGCATTTATTCTCATTTTTACTGTTATTTAGTACAAGGCCCAAGAGCCACTCAAGGTAGAGTGCTACTGATTTTGCAAGGGATAAGCAAAGGAGAGAACGCGAGAGTATTATGAATATAAGTAAGATATATATCGGTTGACCAAGATTGGAGTTTTCAGGGAAGCAGGCAAGAATATGAGCGATCATGGGTCTCCACAGCTTCCTATCCTTTTGTATATCTAAGCAACATTTGTTTTCTTATTAATATTCCCAGTCTCTCTTCTGCTAATTCACTTCCACAAACTTGTTTGGTAAATTACTTTCTATTTCTATCTATCCCTCTTACATTTGCTATGCCTTGTGAGTGTTAAAATCTCCAAGCCCTTTTTTGCTAACTATATGTCTCAAGCATTTCAGTTTCTTTCCGATTCTAAATACAATTGACTTGCTTTCTTTTGATATACCTCACCTGCCTGCTGTTTCAAATGGCTTACATCGAGTACCGTATTTTCCGGACTATAACCCGCGAGTTTTTTCTCGTGCGGGTTATATAAAGGTGCGGGCTATATATAAATTATGTTTTTGAAACTTGAGTCGTTGTGGTTAGGGTTAGGGGAACATAGCTTCACAAAAACCGGTCAACAGCGTCGAGCCAAGTATGTCCAGATAGTTGAATTTATAGGAGTGCGGGTTATATAAAGGTGCGGACTATAGTGGGAAAATACGAGAGTAGTTTTAAAGTTCCGTACTGGCTTAGGCTCAGGTGTCCCGTTTAAAATTTCTGGCTATCATTTCTCACTGTTGTTACATTTTTTTTAAGTTATAAAATTAAATATTTTATAAATTGTCTAAACTGTTTTCCATTCCCCACCCATCTCTCATTCCGTGCTCTTCCGCCACCGACTAAATAACTTTCCTCGTTTTTACTATGATTAATTCGGTATCCGAGGCTTAATCTTAAAAAGAAAAGAAAAACAAATGACTATTTAAGAACGAAGACAAAAAAAAACAAAAAAAAAAAAAAAAAAAAAAAAAACACAAGGACAGGTTTAAAAGATTTAGTCTTTGTGACTCCATTTATTTTGTCTCTTCCGCCGTCTTTATTTTTCGGATTAACTTTTTTTCTTTTTCTTTTCATGTTTTCTGTTATTTAGATACAGAGTGTGCCAAAAATGTAAACAATATTTGTTTGTTAAGAGCAACAAATATTCTTACATGACAATTAATTAAAAACTTCTTAATTAAGGAGTCACTGTGTAATGGATTGAGAAATAGGAGAGCCGAGTTCGAGTTCCATTCGGATCCATTACAGTCGCTTTACTAATACTCTTGGGTTAGGTATGAATCCACTTAACCCACCAACAGCTACAGGCAAATAGAAGAACAGGGTTCTATAGCCTGGGATGGCAACCGGTCGAGAAGGTGCTTCTGAATTAAAAATACGACCTGGAGAGGATTGGACTGCGTCGGGATATCTTGTGTGTGTGTGTGTGTGTGTGCATATATATATACATATATATATGCATATATATATATATGTATACATACATACACACACACATATATACTTATATATATATATATGTATAAAAAATACGATAATAAACAAATTAACCAATAACGAATGCAAGCATAAATGTAGCGTTTAACGTAATAATAACAAGCAACAATACTATAACAATAAAGCAACAATGAAATAATCAATACTAAATAAAAAGAGTTAAAAAAACAACACTATAAATAGCCCCAAAACTGCTTCCCGATCTACAGTTATGTCCACTCAATATTGGTTATAATAATTCGAAATATAGCCGCCTAACAAAAATAACGGCGAGAACAATACAATAGACTACACACCGATATTGAGCACATTAACCCACCCATAAATATAGCACACCCTAAAACTATACACACACACACACACACACACACACACACACACACACACACACACACACACACACATATATATATATATATATATATATATATGATTTAAATATTGCTTTAGATATGCTCAATATCAAAGATAGAGCGTATGTAAATATAAATGCATACTGAAGTCAACACCATGCGTCTACGGTCTGTTTCATGCTTCAACGCAATCTTCAGACCATAGAATAATTTGAAACATACGAATATTTAGAAAAATAACCGCTGCTGTACACCCAATAACCGTCAGGATATTATAATAGAGATTACCACTCTTAATGCACCATTGATCAGCGTATATAAATAGTCGAGCAAACGCACAACACAAGGCTTTTTTATTGCCTTCAAGCTTGTTGATTTCAGAGACCTTAAAAGAGGGTTATATAAAGAGTGTATTGTCTCTTGTCCTAAGCGCTTTCAACCACTTCTTTACGCATTTTCAATGTTTTTTTTTGTTTTTGTTTTTTTTGTTAAATATTGTTAATTTCTTTCATTGTTGTCTGTAAAGATGCAGTTGCGTGATGCCGATTAAATTGTAGTGGTGTTAACTCCAAGCCTTGCGAAAGGAACGTTCCTAGAATATGTGTTTATGAGATTCTGGGTGACAGATGTTTTATGTAGAGCGCTTAGAATGTTATGCGATTTATGAAGGGCGATCGTGTTAGGAAACATAAATTTACTTATGGGTTATTCTAGATTGTGGATATAGACATATTATGGTACTTTGATCAGATTAGTGACACGTGAAGCGTCTGTGCAAGAAGTGGCGTAAGAAATATATTGAGTCATGACAGTTAAATGTTGGTCATCACAAGCCTAGATTTAAAATGGCTACTTATATATATATATATATAAATATATATATATATATATATATATATATATATATATATATATATATATATATATAAGAAAAAATATACGGAAAAAACAAAAAATCCTAATATGCAATTATGCTGTTTTAATGTTAATATAATGTCAACGTCGGACGTTTCGGTCTAGTAGACCATCTTCAGGACATATTCATAAAACATAATTAACATTAGACTATATTTAATTCAACATGAAAAGACGATGGACAACAGACAACTGAAATTTTTCAAGATCAGCGTTCCGTTTCAATATGATCACGTTGGCGTCACATGGGCGATGTTGTGAAAACGTGTTCCTAAAATATAGTATTTTGAATGAAAAATGAAAAGAATTTTATTTTAATCTAAACCTTAAATGTGCGTTTGTCGAGCATTAATCTTGCTAGAAAAGGGGAAATATTAAAGAAGCCAGATCTAGTATTCACCGTGCGTGAGATAGATATTGCATATTAGGACATTTTTTTTTTGTTTTTTTTCCGTATATTTTTCTTCATAATGTCGGATCTATATTCATATATATATATATATATATATATATATATATATATATATATATATGGTTTACAATCCTGCATATACATATTGATCAATGGATTAAAGCTAGATAGTTACTGAATACTAAGGCTTGACTGCCATAGGTCTTCTAGAATAGTAATTTTTGTTCTTGGTAATGCTACATAGGCACACATCGTGGAAACAACCATTTGTCGTATCCTATGACAGGTGGTGATATGTAAATGTCCGGCCTTGCAGTTCAAGATATATATATATATATATATATATATATATATATATATATATATATATATATATATGATAGAAGCAAAAATAAAATAAAAACGGCAAATATTTAAACTATACAATACTTAAGGAATAGCGTTAAACTTAAGAACATTAAGATTACCTCCTCGGTTCATTTAAAAGATAGTTTGCGCAGCGGATTGGTCGTTACAAACATCCAATCGGATGTGCGGAATGCGTGGTCTTTCTTCGTCTAATGCTTTAAAAATTCCAGAGTAGCTGTTAGTGTTTGGTTGTGAGGGGGAATCAGGGATTGATTTCCTCTGATTGGGTAGATTTGGTGATGGGGAGTATGATGTTGAAAGACCCGAAACTCCCCGATGAACCAAGTCAAAACATCACTGACGACGCCTTAAAACGTATTTTTGAATGAATTATATATATATATATATATATATATTTATAATTATCAGGCGTTTTTTCCAGGCAAGGTATTTATTTATAAAAATTGCTGTTTTGTTTACTTTTTTTAATAAAAATATTTTATTTTCACATTATAGAAATGCGTTTCGATAAACATATTCATATTCGTTATATTACGCTTTACCACTTCAAAAAATGGTGGAAAGCAGCGCGAACTCAATAAACTTTTTGGCGAAGGAACAATTAGCGAAAGTCGATGCAGAGAATGGTTTGCCCATTTGAAATCTGGCGACACTAGCTTGGAAGATAAACCAGGAAGAGGTCAATCCATCGGATTTCGACGACCAGTGCACCTTTGGCTGCCTTGGAAGAGAACGAAAGCTTGCCAACTCGAATGTTGGCCGAAGACTTCAATGTGGACCATTCAACCATCGTTCGTCATCTCAAAAAGCCCGGAAAAGTATGAAAATTGGCTGGATGGATTCTTCACGATGTCTCCGACAACAATAAAGCCTAACGCGTCTGAATTTACACCATAAATTTTCTGCAATGAAACGAGCAAGCACCATTTCTGAAGAATCTTGTCACTTGAGATGAATTATGACTTCTCTTGAGAAACGTCAAAAGAAAGAATGTCAGCGTTTCGCCAAGAGTTACACTAAAAGGAATACCGAAAAACGTGCACTGTATGAAGACAATGTGGTATGTTTTGTGGGACAGAAGCGTAATTGGCAGGTGAACTAAGTTTATCCTGATTTAGATAACTTGGTGGCAGATGTCAAAGCACAGATTGCCTCCAAGACTTCTTTGAATCAGGCGTCTTCCAAGCAAATGGGAAGCAGTTACTGAAGTAGATGGTGTCTACGCTTCGGAATAATCATTTAAAAATATCATTAATGAATTATGCTT